TGTGGCCACTGAGGGCGAGACTGAACACGGCCTGTAGCTCCATCTCTGGTGACCGAGTGGTTCACACAGGGCACTGCTGAATCCAGAGATAATGCCCAAGCCCTATCGTGCATCACCCCACTAACGGAATATTCCGTTTAATTTCTGGGGGCTTCTGGCCAGCAAACCCTCACGATAAATTGCCAGAGGCCTGTCTCTGACTTCACTAGGGCTTTGAGAGTTTCCACCAGTAGAGAAGATCCATCCCAGTCTGAAGGATGTGCTCCCCTGCTGGGATTTCTCTTCTTGCTGCTCAATCCGAAATTGCACAAACTGCTGCCTTAGGAAAAGAAGTATGAAGAACAATGTGCTTTTTAGTTTCATTACTTATTCTGATGCAATCTTTTTAAGCAAAAAATAGACAGTGTAGAAATGTAACAAAAAAATCCAGTTACTGCCATACAATGCTTTTTTTTGTTGTTGCCGTAATTATTCTGAGCTGCTGAATTTTGCAACTTTTCCTCTCCTAACATGTTTTTCCTAAAGGCACACTACAGTTCAATCCAATTACAGGCAAAGAATAGAGGTTAACACCAGAAAATATATAAAAGAAAAATAAGTTACTATTAGTATCATAGAATGGCACTGGTCATCAAATCTGTGCATCTTTTTTCTCCGCAAAATATCAGAACTATGAACTTTATAGATTTGTTAGGGACATAAGTGAGAGCTATGGTTTAATTTAAGAGTTTTGTTACATATAACTCTAAATGCCAAAATATGGCAAGGACATTTTAATACTGAACGCATAGGAATTACACCAAAAATATTTTTTCATCTTTATCATCATTAATAAAAAGTGTGAATATAAAATATTAATATACTTTACATATTTATCATACAATATATCAGTCCTTCACACTATTATTTCGATTCATGTTGTGCTGCAACATGTATCAAAAAGTTTAACAAATTAAAGACGTGGCTAGTTACATAAGTTGTGGGTACAGACATTATTTCTGTAAGACAAATAGCAATCACAACATGTCATCTACCTCGAGTTCTACAGTGATATTTGGAAATAAAAACGCTGCATCCTTTTAGGAAGGATAATAATAAAAAAATTGCGCAACCTTTGCTTGCAGAGTGAATCTGACTTTCATAAACCTCAGTATATTTATACTATGAACTAATTTAGTTCAGCTTGCTAAATTTTCTGGTAAGGCACTATCAAGATATTATATCTTCATTTAAACGTTAGATGGATTTCTGATCCTTTGCAATTATCAGAAGGGCTTTTTGGTCAGGCCTGAGAGTATCCTCGCCAGACAAGCTTTGGTGCTGCCCTCTCCCCCATTTTGGTCTTTAACACCCAGTTACTTAACTCCCAGTTCATTGTGCAGCTTCTTGTAGAGATAAACTCCCTCTTGGAAAGTCAGGGAAAAGCTGCAACATCCATAACCCAGCGGTGATATTATATGGAAAATGCTTGTTATGTACTGCTGACGAGAGGGAAAGAAAAGCCATAAAGTATTTCAAACAATGAGAAACTCTGATCATTGTGAATGAGTGGTTAACTGTAGTTAAGAATGAGCAGAACCTTTCTCAGAGGGAAATGCCATTTTAAAGCTAAGCTACTGCAAAGTTATTTATCATGGCTGGTTCAGAGGAAGGGCCTGAAAAAGTGCAGTCTTACAGAGGAAAACACAGATTTGTTTCGTGAACAGCAGAAAGAATGGGATCCAGTTTCTTAAGAAGTTGTCTTCTGCAATTCAATTTTGTGTATAATTTGAGATAAATGCATGGGAACAGACAAAACACCTCTCCTCCAGGTCTTTCTACAACCCTTCCCACAGCACTTACAGGCTCTACTTAGTTAATCTGTAGCTGAACCTTGCCTTTTTACAAATTTTTTAATGAACCTGGCCTCTTTGAGCCCTCTAGCTTGCATTCAGGTCAGCTGGTTTCAAAACCTAATATTGGAGAATACTAGACACACACACAGGCTGTGAGATCACCCAAGGTTAGCTTTCCACTCCCCTTCCTACAGGCTGAAGCAAAGCAAATAAGAGCAAGCATTTTCTGTTTCACAGTTCCTCAAGAATTTCACAACAGTTAAACTGCTCCTAAGAGGTCATCAAAGGATGTTCAGCACAGGTCAGTTTGCTGCTGACCCCAGCGCAGCAGAACAGAGGCTGGGATTTCTCCCTGGACCGCGCCCTGCCCAGAGCTCTGCCTCCCCTTCTGCTCCCTCCCATTGCCTGCAGCAGCACTTCTGAGAAGGTCACCAGAGGCAACTTTTTTGACAGCCTGCAATGTTTTGATTGTGAAATACAGCAAAACCACAGCCAAAACCATGTTCATCTTCTCAGGGCAACAGCAGTTTCAGGCAGAGCTTAAACTAAGCAAACGTGGCTTGCCTTAAAACTAAGAAAGGCTCAATCTGGTGAAAAAAGACCTTCTCTTCACTTGCTTTCACACTGCTCTGGACGAATCAGATGAGCACACATGTGTGGGCCTTCACTGCCTGTGACAGTGTCTGGAACAATCCTTCACCACAAGGCACTCACAGTCTAGTCTGAAGGTGAAGTGACACATGATTTGGGACTTCATGAAGCTTTTTAGAGTGGAGCAAGAAGTCAGATCACTCAGTCACTAATTCAAGGGATCTGTCCTCAACTGCCTGCAGTCAGTATTACCCAGACTCCTCCTCTGAAGTGCTAGAACATTTTGGGAAAAATGCCTCTCTCCTATCCTGATCACTTGATACTTGAATTAGCAAGGAGAAGGAGCCCACAGGCTTTTGTCACCAGCCTGAATTTCAACACAGAATTGCTCTGCAGAAATCAGGCACCTCATACAAGTAAAGAAGGTCCTGATGTGGTCCCTTTATGTTAGCAATAAATCTTTTCTAATTTAAACAGGAAGGTGGCTATGGCAAGAAAAAAAAAACAATTAAAAGATTGCTGTTGGTTTTAGTCTTAATAGAAGATCTTTAAACTTTCTGGAACTAGTGTACGATACAAAGAAGAATTACTAATATGGAGCTTAAAAATCTTGGTTTACAGTTGGACATCACAAATAGCCAAGCAGGCAGTGCACGTTTTCCCTCAAGGTGTGCAACAATAATGCTCAGATTGAGAAGGCTGATTATGGTTTTGGGGTGGGTTTTTTTTTGACTGTGTTGAGTTTTTTTCAGTCCTACCAGGGTCTTTAAAAAACCTTTGAAACGTAAGGCTTTTTTATTCTACAGAATGGGAGAAATCTTTGTCAAATAGTTTAGCAGAAGTCAGGAGAAATGATATTAAATGCTTTTATTGCTACATGGAGCTTTCAGCATTCATAGCTTATAAAATTAACTACTTCACGGGCCATTTGTCTTGTTTGCAATGGAAAAAGTTGGAAAAGGACTCAGTCATTATTTATCTCAGGTTTCAAAACATACTGCTGTTTTTCACTGCTCACTTCACAAGATTCCAGATTCAGTTTCTCTTTGTTTTCTACAGATGTTGTTCTAAGATGCCCTGAGAATATCTTCCAGATGACAGGTATCATAGAAATAGAAGTTGTTAATATTATCTATACTGATAAAGAAAGAAGGAAATACATCTAAGAAGTATTTGAATGAAGTATTCATTAAGCATATCACATGTTGAATGAGCACTTACTGCTCAGGCAGTGTGTAAGCTGATTTTATTATCAGTTGCATGAATTCTATACAATATTGCAATCTCCATGACTAACAGAAGTTCAAAATTCTGATTTACGGAAAAGTCATTTCTTCTCTGAAATGATTAGGACTAATTTTGGAGCCAAGTTTTCTAAGGGAGAATTCAGATCACAATACATTACTTACGTTACCAAAAAAAAGTACAATTTTCCATATTAAAACCCACAGATTGCAAGAAATGTCATAGAGTGCACTGCCTCTAAATCTCACACTTCTGTAAGCAACATCCTAGGACCTAAGAGTCTGCAGCTAAACATCAACTTTTTTGATTTTATTGCTTTAGTGTTCCTTACCCATAAAAGAAGAACAGAACAACCTTTTGCAAACAATGGAAGTTATTTAAACAGAGTACCGTCTTCAGTACAGAAACTGTTAACTGTTTCATTACTTTCTGTTCCATTAAGAGGGAGCTGTGTAACCTGAAGCTACAGTATCCGAACGAAATCTACCACTCAGCTAACGGGCTGATCCCATATCTGTGTCAGATAAAAATCATAGTGCTTATTATTTGTTACCATGGATACCATGAAGATATTGCTGTCCACTAAAGATTACTAGAGGAAGACAACATAATTCTCAGGAACGAGTCCTGTTTTGCCTTCATAGGTTGCTTTTAACCAGCCTGGTTCCACTGATGGATATACTGCAGAAAAAACAGCCAGACAAGAAAAACATATTTACAATTAATGAACACTGTTAAAAGATCCTATACATGGTTCATATATTTATTTAGATAGTATTTATTCTAAACAAATGAAAAATCAGGACAGCACCCGAAAGTTTAAAAGGAACTATGCTCTCATTTCGTGGATACAATTCAGTTTGTTTGGTTTTTTTTTGTTGTTGGTGGTGTCTTTTTTGGTTTGGGTTTTTTTTTTTTTTACATAAAAAGACAACGTAAAATGTATCTTACCATTGGAAAATATTGCCCCCTGTGGGAAAGACAGCTCATGACTATGCTCAGCCTTACAGGAATACATGGCTTTTGCTTGTCTGAAAGACAAAAATACAGGCTTGCAGTAAATAACATAACAATGAAAAATGTATAAAGAAATGAAATTAAAACATGGGAAGTGTAGGAATAATCAAGTTGCACAAATGCAGGATAGTAATGACTAGTCACACAGCAGTTCAGAGGAGCAGAATTATAGCAGGTAGTAACTCCAAGCTCACTAGAGTTAACAACCACGTTACTGAAGAGACTAACATCCTGCTTAGAGATTTAAACAAGGACCTAATTTCTAACTTTTAAAAGCTGTCATTCAACTGAGTGTTGAACTGAGCATATTGTTCAGTGACTTGTGAGAAAATACAGTTGATCAGTCTACAGAAGAAAGGAATACACAGAAGGTAAACAGAAGACCGAAAGGAGTAATCTGTTCTCCAGGCTGACTTCAGTAATGACTTAAATAGATTTAAATTGCAGCAAGAGAGATTTAAATTAAGTGTCTTGGGTGGGTTTCAGCTTCATACACTTAAATTTAGATGTCTGTAAGTACTATATGTGCCTAGCTCCATGGACGCTTCCGGTCTGACTTCGACTATGGCAGACACCCTCTGAAGAGTGCAACGGGCGGCTCACCAGGTCCCATGGCCTGTGGCGAAACCTTCATGGAAATGTGCCCTTAAATAATACCTGACAGAAAGACACCTAAATGTAGACAGCTAAGTTTATGTCCCTTTATATGTAGCTGAAAGTAATTTTTATATGATCCATCAATTTTTCTGAATTTCTTTAAACTTCTTAGAAACCCACATTATACCAAGTGAACATGAACTTGTTAATTATTTCACCTTTGTACGAAGGAGTTACTGATTCAACTTTCCTTCCTGTCACAGTTTATCTCAACGACCCAACATGTGACCTGCAGTGATGTTTAACGCTTTTTGCTTACTTTTTGAGAGTGTGTATATGCAAGTGTGTATTTTGTCTTTCCTCTCAAAATACTGAAATAACAGTCATAACTTAATTATCAACAGTGCCACATCGTAAGTATTAGCATAACAAGTCTGTGCTCTGTACCAGCCCCTGTACCACTGAAGGGGTCACGGCATGGCCCCTTTGTAGTTCCACACATCCCTGCAGAGGCTAAGCAGGACAAATTTCCTAAAGGGGCCAGCGAGTATCAATATATTCTGCCCTCATACCCTGGTGCCTATCAGCAGCAACACACCACCGTTGATCTGTGTCGTTAAAACGGTAGGAGAGTGGATGGACATACTCCAAAGTCTGCATGTGTGAGCTTTCCAGAAATGATTTCTCCCTCTGAAGAAAAAGCTTTCCTTATGTTTCCCTGAATCTGATTTATGACTAGACTAAAAGACGTGTTTTACCTTCATCTTAAGTAAGCAATTGACTCATCAAGGGTTAAAACCTCAGGCTGCGATTTCTAGAGGCGGTCAAGAATTTTGAGACATGCCCATAATATCCAAGGGCACCTTCTAACTCTTAATCCTGTCCTTTTGGACACATTCCTAATAGCTGCCTTCCAATACCCGAAGGGAACCTACAGGAAGGCTGGGGAAGGACTTTTTACAAGAGTGTCCACTGATAGGACAAGGGGAAATGGGTTTAAGTTGAAGGAGAACAGATTTCGACTGGATCTTAGGAAGAAATTCTTCAGTACGAGGGTGTCAAGACTTTGGAATAAATTGCCCAGAGATGATGTGGCTGCCCCCTCCCTGGAGGTGTTCAAGGGCAGGTTGGACAGAGCCTTGAGTAGCCTGATCTAGTTGAGAGGCGTCCCTGCCCACAACAGGGAGGTTGGATTAAATGATCTCTAAGGTCCCTTCCAGCCTCGGCCATTCTATGATTCTACGATTCTGTGATTCTATGATTCCCACTGCTAACTGGAACAACAAGAGTGGTGGACCTCCTGTTCGTCTACTTTGCTTAAATGTTAGCTTGTTTCTGCCTAGTGTAGAGTTCTGTTCAGCATTTTTCCAAAACAACTCCTTGGTGCCTACTGTTATGAAGAACTTGCCATCTACAGTCAACACGACAGGTATGAACTTTCTTTACATATATATACAAATTTATAAACAACCTACATAATATACACTAAGACATACAGAGGGAGATCAGACGACTGTACTGAAGGTCATGCTTAAACTAGAATTGAATCTTTTTAATCTCAAGATCATTTGCCCTCAAAGTCACTACAACAAGGAGCACTACAGATGTTCCAATTATACTGACCCAGATGGGGAACAGTCTGACAAAACAGCTATTTCCTCTTGTGATAGGTTGACCCTGGCTGGACACCAGGTGCTCATCAAAGCTGCTCTGTCACTCTCCTCCTCAACTGGATGTGGGAGAAAAATAGGATGAAAGGCTCATGGGTGAAGATGATTTACCAATTGCTGTCACAGGCAAAACAGACTTGAAATATAACATGTTTTTTAGTGCCCTTAGAAAAAGTTAGGAAAATAAGTGCAGTTTTCTACAATATTCTCTTATGTCTACTAAACTATGCTGTCTTCAGCTTCCAATTTTACCTGTCTTCAGCTTCCAGTTTTACCTGATTCAAGTATGTTTACCTTAGAAGTAAAGAGAAGATCAGAAAACATGGACTCTTCAGGAAAGAGAAAGCTTCCCAGCATTTGACATTTAGACAGATAGACAAACACAAAGTACAAAGAAGTCAGTTTCCTAAAAGGTGATGAATTACAGGATTCTTCCCACTACCTTGCTCCTGACACAAAGTAACTACATCCCAATGTTACCTGCAAACTGTGTGTGATGGTATAATGAAAGACAGATTCGAAGAACATTTACTTATAATTCTGGAACAATTTTGAAGCCCCTATTGCCTCCACATTCATTTTGATTACTTACGTCCTCATATTAGTTATTACTCACTCCAATGCCAGCTAGAGGCATTAACCATGAAAAGGGCCTTGCAGGTTCTTGTGCATTTTTTTTGGCTGTGATTATGAAAATGGACATTCTTACTTATGGTGTTAATGCTGTCCCCTGTACAAGCAAGGCTGCTTATTAAAAAGCAAGTGATAATATCACCATCATCTACTGTGGTTCTCTTAAGATGATGCTAATAATCTGAGACAATTGTGATTCATGTTTAGTGCAGACAGAAAAAAACAATTTCAGAAAGTGGTACCCAAATTTCCTAGAAGTTCCTTCTTTCCACTACTTTACTGGATAGACTACAGATGAGAAAAAATGCATTTTTCCTTCCCCTAACATTTATTACCATTTTTTTTTGAGCCCATAATGATAAACTTACATTAGTAGTCAAAGGGTCAGTACTCATCAGATCATTAATTATTTTGCTTGACTACATGCAGTCAACAATACCTGAGGCCCTTTTAGTAATAGTGATAATAATAACAACAATAGTTTTAAAAGTTACAAATCAGCTTTAAAGCTATGCTCCTGCCCTAATGAGCTTCCAGTTTAGCAAGAGGAAGACAGAAGCCAGAAAAGGTACGAGTGAGGGAGAACACACCAATCTCTCTCAGATAACTCAGCAGTCAATACTATCCCACAGGGAGAAGACAGGTTTACAGACTCCTGGAGACGGCAGACTCATAGCCAGGCTGCGCTTAGTAGAACATACTGGACTGGACTAGGCAAGGCATTCCAGGTGTTTAAGGAAATGCAGAATGTAGCATGAAAATAACATCAGACTGGAAAAGGATATTTAATCCTATGGTTGGGAGGGGAGTATTGTTGTGGAGGGCTTCACGCTGTCGGCCGAATCCTACTGAAGTGCCAGCCAGGCAGCCAGAGATCCTGCTGCCACACTAGAGCTGACTGCTGTCCTCAACTCCTCCCTCCCATTTTCGTATGTTCTCTTTTCTAATGAAAATCCTTCTCCTTGTAATGCAGTTTCTCACTTCAGGAGAGCTACCTTCTGTGTAACTCTGAATCAGTTAAGAAAATGCAGTCAGGGATTATGGTGCATTTCTCTACAGAAGCTGCAATAAAGAGTCCTCAGATCTTACCAAGACTGTCATCTAACTGCAGGCCTGGTGCCTCTTTCAAGAGCGTATTAGATTAGCAATAGGGACTGCTCTCAGTATACATAGAAGCTTAATAGCATAGCAAGGGAGATGGATGAATCATAAAATTGAAGGAATGGGAAGACTGAGAAGTGGAAGTACCTCTGGAATTGGAAAAAGAAAGCACAGGCTGGACAGGGCATAACATTTTGATCTTCCACATCCAATCTTAAAACATGTACTGTGGCCTCTCATTCTCTTTCTGACTAAATTAAATCTGTTCAAACCAATAGTGCTATGGGGGCACATACTCAGCTATATACAAGGAGAGAAAACCACCAGGTCAAATAACGTCCCAGCATTAAAAAAGGGCACACAGACACTCATAATAGAGCTGCTGCATTATATAAAGTCAGAAAGCTGAGCTGCAAAGACTACTTGGAAGAAAGAATTAAGTAAGACTGGGCCACTGTGGTGGTAAAGCATCAAGTGTAAAATTATCTTCTGGAATACAGAGATCAATGTGAGACTGCAAGCCATATAGGTACTCTTCATCTGAATATTGCACAAACGACCACAACAAGCAACAGATGCTTCAAGAAGGAATACAGCTACTTAGATACTGTAATGCATAGCTAAGAGGTAGCTTAAAATTTCAAAACTATTATTTTTGCAGGGTAAATACTCCTCTGCAGAATTCAACACTGTCTTGGAGTATTTCTGTTATCAAAACAGACAGCTTAAGAACAGTTTCTCTATCTTACACTCTGCCCTGCATATACTCATTTGACAGTAGAGTTATTAACACAGAAGTGGATCAAGGTCAGGGTGGATCAAGATGTAATTGCCATGACTTCTACATACTTCAGAGCACAAAAAAAAAGAAGACTATTCTATGGTTTTAAATCAGCCTCATGTTCATAACATGCATCAGAGACAAATAAAAGCAGGCTCTGAACTGCAAAATCATACTCAGACTTGAGCAGCACTATGAGAATAGTGCAACTATGAGAATAGTGCAACTTCTTATTTCTTCTTCATTCTGCCTGCTGGCCTCTCATTTTCCATTCTGCTTGTTACTGTTGCTCTTCTGCCTTCTTAGGAAGGCTGAAGTAGAGGAGCTATTAAGCCTTTCAGCGTTTTCAGCTTTGTTATCTGCTCTTCATATCCATTATCAAACTGTTACATTTTTCCTTTGTCAGATTTTTGCTTCTTATGTGCTTTTTAGGTACAGATACAGGTGGCACAGGCTTTGAGAGAATAACAGGGGAGAGTTTACAAGAAGGGATTAATACGAAATAAGAAAAGGAACAGTGTTGGAGGTGAAAAGATGCAGGGCTGGTGAAGCAGTCATCGCCCTCGGCTTAGGGCAAGGGCTAAGAACATTCCAGTCTCCTCATTTATACTTTTCTTCCTTAAATTATTGCCCTGCTCTTTTCATATCCCTTTCCCCTCTCCCTGCTACTCTCTTTTCTGGTCACCTTACAGTTCATGTACTACGCACTACAAACAAGATCAGTAGGTCGCTGCAGGTCAGCTTTGGTTTTGTCTCCCCTGCGAGATCTGTCAGAGAGCACAGCCATATTCCACGGCAGCACATTTCAGCATATATTGGCATTTTCCTTTACAGCTGTGGTACTTCAGACTATTACTTTTGGATTAATGGATTTTTAAAATTTTTCTTCCACATTGCTGAACAGTTCTGGTAAGATCCTGGTATCAGTGAGTGAAGCGATGGATTAAAACATGTGCTCTGTCTCAAAGAACGTGAAATGCAGAGACAGTGAAAAGAGAAACAGACTTCTTCCCATATCCATTGATTATCTGTTTAGTCTATTGACTGTAACAGGGTTAGTAATGCATGGAAGATACTGTTTCCTAGATAACACCTATCAGAATATTCTAAATTCATAGAATCATAAAGATTGGAAGAGACCTCTAAGGCCATGAAGGCCAACTGTCAACCCGGTATCACCACTAAACCACATGCCGAAGTGCCACATCTACATATTTTTGAACACTTCCAGGGATGGTGACTCCACCACTTCCCTGGGCAGCCTATTCCAAAGAATTTTTTCCTAATATCCAATCTAAGCCTACCCCGGCACAACTTTAGGTCATTCTTCTCATTGCTAGTTACTTGAGAGAAGAGACCAATACTCACTTTGCTACAATCTTCTTTCAGGCAGTTGTATAGAGAGATAAGGTCTCTCTCTTCATTTAATATCAATTTAATCAAATCCACCAAACAAACGCAAACAATTGTAAAGAAAATGTAAAGAAATCCTGCTGCACACTATCAAGAGGAAAGGACAACTATTTCTCCAGACAGATACTGAGGCATGGAAGGTGTCACAGTAAAAACAGAAGCCCTGATCAAGTTAATCCTGAACTTTTTAAAGTATCTATTATTCAAGACCTGCCTATATGAGCAAACTACCATGAACTAGCATGTTTGCTACTCTGCTCAAAGCATGTATATACAAACAGCTGTACAGAATAAGTACAGCACTCTTATCCTAATGTAAATCCTGTTAATTTACTCTTGTAGCTTTGTCCTCAAGCAGATCAACCAACCTGGGCATCTCCCACTGCAATTCCCTCAGGTGACAGAACAGCAAGATTGTCTATTTTTCTCTATTGGATTTAGCTTTCTTTTGGAGAAAGGATGAGTTTAATATACCACACAGTTTTTGCATAACAAGTGGTGCTGACATTTCTATTTCAATCTTTGAAGCCAGCAAAACAGAAAAGATTTTACAAATTGTTGAACAGCACGAAGCACTTACCGTCCTGTAGAAACTTGTTTAAGTGAACCAGCACTTTCAAACAACTGCGCTCTTGCAGCCACTCTGAAAATAAAAGCACCACCTTGTTTTATACTTCACCCATTACTTAAATACACAGACAAGTTTCATTTCTAACCATCTAAAGACAGGGAAAAGTTTTTTTAATTGTTTTAATTATTCACTTAGAAAAACAGAGGAAACTGAAAACCTGAATTTAAGTCCCTATTCAGCAGAATTCCTAAAGGCATAACCTAACTGGGGCCAGCAACTTCCACATGCACTAGTGCCTTGCTGAGTCAGCGAGGGCAATCTCAACACCCTATATTTAAAATTATATTAATGGATGGCCAGTACGTATAATGGAAATGCTTTTACTGCCAGTCTGTCATTATCACACTAGGACTCTGAGCTGTGCAGGATTCTCTGTTTAAGTATTCCAGTTTAAAAAGTGAAGAGACTAAATGGAGTCCTGCAATATTTGGAAGACTTCCTGGTGCTCTGCAGAACTGGAAATCTCTTGTTCATGGGTACAGAGAAATTCTGGGTCAAAGTCAGGATTATAGCAAAGTTCTTCTGACTCTCTGTCTGTGCTAAAAGCACCAAAACCCACTGCTAACTCAAATCTCAACTGGCTAAATTATAACCTCTATTGCTTAGAACTATCCTTCTCTTGACACAAAACCTCCTGAAACCCAGCTTGTAGAAATTAACAATTTATCGTGCAGCAATCAGAGAAATTTCAGAGCAGAAGTGTGGTTTTTTTTTAGTTTTCCTTCCTCCAACTTACACAAGTAAAACCTGGACTTACACAAATAAAACCTGATGATCTTCTTGACATAACAGCATGGACAGTAAGTAGTGCTTATGCTCCCTGAAACATTAAATTCTACAAGAACCAGAGGTATATTGCATAAGAACCAAAGGTAATACTTCTAATCACTTTCCAGTTATACATTTCTTCACTACAGACCTTATTGGTATGTGCCTCTCTGGGATCACTTTATAGTAGACAATAACAACACACATCTCCAAAAGGCCTTCATGACTTACACAGATCCTGGTCTTTGATAGCCATTACTTGATGCAGTATCTAATCTTAATCTCCTACACATTTTGGGAGGCAAATCAGGGTTTGGTGGAACCTTTGGTGTATCTTTGGTATCTGTTGAAGATAAGCTCTGTATAGATCCACTGCAACTTTTGTTACCTAAAGAAAACAACAATGAATTATAAGGAGTATTAAAGCTACTCTGAAGTTGTTCCACGACATGTGTAACATGCAAAGCAAAGCTTTTACTGTTGTGGTTTTTTCTTTTAAAAGAAGAAAAAAAGCAGGCACAGTGACAAAGAGTGACAAAACTGTTATTTACTAGATATGTTAAGCCTAGTGCTTTTAAATTTAATTGCTAGCTTTGATCAGTATCAATCCATTAAAAAGAAACAAAAAGATCAGTGAAAATCATAAGCTTTCAGATGCAGCTCTTGTTTTCTGTGTCCCAACAAACACTGATGTCCTACAAGACCTTGGAAATTACCTTCAGCTGATGGAATTGATCTAAGAGAAGATGCTGAAGACCTCTTCAGCCCAGACAGACTGTATAAACTCTTTTTGGTCAAGTCTGTTGGTGGAGAGGCATTTTCTGGTCCAGTGACAGAAGCTACACTTTGACAGTCTGACTCCACATCTGTTTTAGTTGCATCCTCCTTTGATGAGGATTCTGGACTTGTGGTCCAGAGGCCTGAGCTCTTCTGGCCATTAGAAGAAGGGGGAGAGGCAATCCATGGAATCCCCCCTGACTTCTCCCTAGGCTGTGAGGATGCACATTTGGTGGTGCTGTTCTGCTCGGAGGAGTGGGAAGAAAGAGATTCAATGCTGCCCATGGGAGTGCTGTCTGGGCTGCTGCTGTATGAGTCACCTATGGAGGAGGGAGAGAGAAAGAGAGAGAAAAAAAATAACATACATTTTCTAATCATCAGCATTTCTCTCAAGTCACTTTCAGCCCCTTATATCTTATTTGTCATTGAGTTCATTCAACTGTGGTTTCACAGGCAATGATTCTTAAGACAAAGTATCTATTTAATTATTCTAAGTTTCACATATATTCCTCTCTTTAACCTGCAAGAGCTGCCTTTTGTTGCTATTTCTTTAGAGCTAATGAACATAATGGGCTACAGGCTAAACTATTTTTCAAAGAAGTTTGCATTTTAAAAGAACTGCCTGCAATACAAATAATCCTCAGAAAATTCAATAGTTACAATGTCACAATATCTTTGTGGTCAGTGTCTTACCAATTTCCATGATACGGCAAATGTGGTGCTTGTTACGTTTGTGTCCTTAAATGCATGACTTTACTGCCAGCAGGCACAAGAATTAAGTTTTACTTGGGTTACCAAGCTGCTGAGAATTTCTGCAGTCTTGGTAAGACTAGTCCATAAGTCTTTCTATAGATATCTTACTTTCTGAGTCATCATACCTTTCATGAAGTATCGATCCTGCAGAAGGACAACTCATTTCTCTATTTACAACTTGAATGTTGAACATTTGATGAATTTCTCTAGTTAGATTGAAACTAGAGAAATGTACCTACCTACAAAGAAATCTTTGTGCTGATCTTATTTCCAGTAATCTTTTGCAACAAAAAGTAGAAATATCCTAAATAAATTTGCTGATGATATAAAGGTAGGAACGCTCATGAGAACTGACGAAGGACTGGCCTATAATACACTGAGGGCTGAATGATTTTGAAGACTAGATTCAGTCTAGTGAGTCATATATTGGTGTCTAGTAGGACTTTTTGCCAAATGCCAGGAGATGAAATTCACAAATTTCACAAGAAGCAGAGAATGTACATTCTTCACTCAGTAATTTTAAGGTATCAACATGGGGACAGATGTGTTGGAGGGCAACGTAGGGGAAAAGGGACCTGGGAGTCCCGGTGGGCAGTAGGATGACCATGAGCCAGCAATGTGCCCTCGTGGCCAAGAAGGCCAATGGCATCCTGGGGTGTATTAGAAGGGGAGTAGCTAGTAGGTCGAGAGAAGTCCTCCTGCCCCTCTACTCTGCCCTGGTGAGGCCACATCTGGAATACTGTGTCCAGTTCTGGGCCCCTCAGCTCAAGAGAGACAGGGAACTGCTTGAGAGAGTCCAGTGCAGAGCCACAGAGATGGTGAAGGGAGTGGAACATCTCCCTGATGAAGAAAGGCTGAAGGAGCTGGGTCTCTTTAGCTTGGAGAAGAGGAGGCTGAGGGGTGACCTCATAAATGTTTATAAATATGTCAAGGGGCAGTGTCAGGAGGACGGAGCCAGGCTCTCCTCAGGGATGTCCAATGACAGGACAAGGGGCAATAGATACAAGCTGGAACACAGGAGGTTCCACAAAAACATGAGGAAAAACTTTTTCACGGTGAGGGTGACAGAGCCCTGGCACAGGCTGCCCAGGGAGGTTGTGGAGTCTTCTTCTCTGGAGACATTCAAAACGCACCTGGATGTGTTCCTGTGTGACCTACTGTAGGTGATCCTGCTCTGGCAGGGGGGCTGGACTAGATGATCTTTAGAGGTCCCTTCCAACTCCTGACATTCTGTGATTCTTTTGGAATTCTGCTGGATTGTGCAACTGTTAATAACTTAATCTTTGCTAAAAGTTCAATACTTCTAACTGATACAGATGGTAAGCAAAAAAAGTGACAGTCCACTAAACGAAAATTAGTGAAGTGAAACTTTTCAGTAGTCACATCTACATGAAAATGAATAAGAATTCTAAGCAGCTACTAATTATAAACATAACTCCCTGCTGTTATGCAGTAAGTTATATGATAAGTTTACTCTTTCTCCCAAAAATATTAGTTTGCTTCTATTCCAGAAAAACTAACAAAGTTTCAGTGGTTTTGGCAACCTAAGCATTGGCTGACTTTGAACCAAACAATGACTGCAGTTTCATGCATGTGAAAAAAGCCAAGTGATGTTTTGCTCTCCTGACCTTGACTGAATTACATTTATTACAGGAGGAAAGATTCTATCTACTGTTTCCCAACCTCACTCATCATCTTACAAGCAAATGAGATGAACTTCATATAATGAACTGCTGAGTTTCAAAGCAGAGTACATTTAAATTGGAATATAAAGTCTACTCTAAATGATTTTTGAACACTGTATGCAATATAAGACTTGCCTAAAACCAAACATCCTTCTTCACCTCAGAGAAGCAAGGAATGCAGTCACTCAACAGTGCTGGTGTGACTCACAGAGGTTAAAAAGCTGATGAAATCCCATCTGTTATAATTATTAGAATAAAATACGTATTGGATATTATTAAGGGAAGTTAAAAGACAAGATGTAAAAATGAAGAACATCAGTCATCATCACAAACTTACTGTCAGGATCTGCTAGACATGGTGTGTATCTTCCTTTGGGTTTACGTGAACCTGTGGAGAGACAAATTGCTCTTGTCCTTCTTGATCCTGATCGGGACTGAGGCTGGGGAAGAGGAATATTGGGGTCTGGTGCAGTGTGAAATATCTATATGATAAAAAAAACGGGAAAAAAGTGACATAAACAATAGTTCCATTATTAATCCATTTGTTTTCTTCCTCTTTCAACCTGAAATTAATCCTGTAATAGTCTCACACATTACAAAAGAGTAAATTCACACTCTGATCTCATTTTATGATCCAAGAACCAAAATACTGAGCTGTACTTAAAATTTATATTAATTATGTAAAAATATTTGTTTAAATAGTTTATTTTCTAGCTCTTGTTCAGAAGTGCTTAACAGTCTAAATTGTAAAACATACGACAGGTGCTTACTGCTAACCCTGGCCCAAGAAGCAATACACGTTTTTAAATATTAAGAAAAAATTGATTTTTTTTTCCTCTGTGATCCTGGGAAAGCTTTTGTATGTCACAGAAATGTGTGACAGTTGTAACTTGCTACAATCTGGTTTGTATTTCAGAAAATCACTTCATTTTGCCAAACAGGTCAGGTTTGAGGAGGAATATCTTAAAGTTTTGAGCATCTCTTGTATTTTATCTTTTACATATCGCTGCTACCACTGGTCAATTTTGTACTTCATTGCTGCAGAAAAAACCCTCAATTTTCATGGGTATCTGACTACTGTGATCTAACACAGGGACACAGAAGGTTTTAAAGAACTCTTTGCTGATAAGGCGGGCAAGTCTGTCAGCAAGGACAATGCAGAAGGTCCACTAATTTGGTTGACTTGCATTTGAATCACCTGTTCTGCAATATCCAAGACACATGCAGCAGATGTCTTGAAAGACCCTAAAATCCTTCTTGGACACTTCTACTAAAAATGCCAATTGCCTTGGAGGATGACCAAAGCATAAAATACAAACAAAATATTTGCAGGCTTTAATTCCAGATCCTCTTTCTCACTTATTCCTCCTAGTGTAGACTCTGACCTGATGCTCTCAGAGGAGAATCCATGCATTCACCCAGAGTGAACCTTCATATCCTGCTAGTATGCGAAAGATGGAGAGCTGGGAGTAAAGTTATGAGTTCTCATTCTGTTTCTAGATGTAAGGACACAGCAATCTTCAGAAAGCAACAGAAGATTAAGAGCAACTCCTTCAACACATGGGAGATTATGCCTTGGATCTGTACCTTGCACAGGCATAAAACAATTTGCCAGGAATATAGATCCAGAGCATGGGGTGGCGAGGGAAGAAGGTATCTTTTCTATCAATGACATTTTACAAATGATGGATGTCTTTTGCCTAAGAACTTAGTGATGGTAATGAAAATGAGATCTTAGTTCCACTTCATCACAAAACAGCCAGATAAGGCCTTTATACCTTTTCATAATGCTCTATCAGAATTTCAACGACGATATTCTGAAACTTAATGTTCATCATAGCAGCCACGGTTTCTTCTTGGGCTCTCATCAGAGTGGGTCCAAAGATAACACCAAGGTTGGATACAGTCATTAGATTTTGCTGACTGTGTAATGATACCCTTTAAAAGGAACACAAACAGTATGCAATTAAATTATTATGCTAAACTGCAACTCCAACAGGCAAAAACCTGTTAAGATTATTTCTTTAACAAGATCTCAAGTTCATGCTTCCCCTCTAAAAATATTTTTAAAACTTGCACTTCAACAGAGTCAAAATAAGCATAGTACAAATACATTAGGGCTCCCATGCTGCAATTACTTAATGGATAATGAGCACGTCTTCCTAGAGTGAGTACTTTAAGTTCCTGCCATACCTGACAGGGAAAAGAAAGTATCCTTGGTCTCCACAGACAGATCCAGACCATCTGAAGTTTAGTGATTATACAGGAGCTTAAATACTTGTTGCATTGATTGAAAATACCACGTGATAACACAAGCAGTCATATACCTCAGCTTTTATGTAAAGAAAAGAAGCTTAGTTACTGAAAACACTCTTTACTAATATGTTGAAAACGTAAGATCAGTGGGGTCAGCAAAATCATTGTTTCTGTGGTATAGATACAACTAAATGAACATAATAACATCTTCTAGCTTTAAAATGTATTCTGTTATTGCTTACTGTACCTTTTCTGTATTTTTTTCTTACAGTAGACTTTAGAAACCTAATTTTCCCAATAATTTATCAGACAGGAAAATGAAAACCATCAGTCAGTAATCCTCAATGGTCCTTTTCTCTCCTTACAAATAAGATTTGCCAAATAAAATGAGTATCATCATAAATCCCTCAAAGTAACTGCCTGTGATTCTCCAGTCATAGCTGCCCTATTGCCTCGTACCTGAGAAATATCATGCCAAGTAAAGATTTTATAATTGCCTTAATGCGTAATTTTATTGAATGTGCTACCACACAGAATCAGTTACTCAGGGCACTTGTTCACATCTTCCCCTTCACTGCTATCTGCTAGTATAACCCAGCTGAGCATTTTTAGCAATTCCATACATAACTAAAATAACTCCTGTACCTTTTAAAATTAAGAAACAGTAAAATCTACAAAATACTGGAACACTAGCAGGTAGGAGCAAACTTCATCTTCTGGTTTTCTCTGACAGCTTTCAATGACAGATTATGGAGGCACCTGCTATGTTTTCCTTTCAATAACATTCTCAGATAGTTTGATCTGTTCTTGAAGAGTTATACAAACATTAACATACTGATGTCAGAGTTTGCTAGCAAATAATACAAATACTATTCCCTTACAAAGATTTGAAAGGCAGTGACAAAAAGACTGGCATTTCCCCACAATTACTGGGGGATTTTGTTAGGATGAGGATCAAACTCACACATTACATGTGTGAGTCTGGACTCATTACCTTTATCTCAGGCTCACTGTTGAGTAGGTACTAACAATATAAAGAATGAGTAGAAGAGAAATTATCTCGGTGATTAAAGGTTATTAGAGGTGAGATAGACTGTATAATTACTTCTATAATGAAGTAATACTCCCCTCATGCTTGGAACAGGAATGTTTTAGCACCCTATTTACATTGAGAGGCAAAACAAATATGGGAAAGAGAGCTGTATTGGAGATATGACTATAAACTGCAGATGAATAAATGTCTATCTTCTTACATGGATCCTATGTTGCTTCATTAAGTTATGCCAAAAAGACCTTCCAAAATTTTACTTCAGACAGACACACTGGCAGAGATCGCTACTTGGAAGCCATGTCATGAAAATTACTACTTTATTAAAGCATATTTTTAGCCAATTATTATAACCTAATTTTCTCTGTAACAGATCCTATGTTTGACTTAGGAGACTAAGGCGTGTTTGGGAAATCCACCAATATTTTAATGAAAATGGAATTTTGAATTACTCAGCTCTAAGTTTGTTAGGAAAACCTAAAAAACCCACCCTTTGCAATGTTACTCTGCTTTGTGCTGCATGGTAACTGCTAAGGACTCTTTCACAAGCAGTAGAGTCTTCTAGCATAGGAGAGAAAGCAGTGTTCGTCCTGTGCTTGGGTTTCCTTGGTTACAAATTTGGTAGCTTGCTTAATAAAAGGAATGGTGAATTTAATAACACTGTAACCAGAAAGGACTTTCTACAAAGCGTTTCAAAGGCTCAATTTCTTGCAAAAGAGAAAAAACCCCAGGCCTGTAAATGGATCATTTTGATAGTCAATTTCCCCTGACCCAGTCCTACTGTTGCTGGGCTACTGAATAGAGACCAAGGTAATTGCGCATTTCAGGTAGCTGCAAGGCATTCGTAAAGGTGCAGGTGCTTTCTCCTCAAAATCCCTTTCTTGGATATATACCAGTAAATTCTTCATACTGCCAGACTGCAAACTGCTGATTATCTGCCTTAGAAAAGTATGGTGTTATTAAATCTTAGTAAAGAATCATTTATACTTTAAAGTAGACAGGTAATTTGACTAGGAAGGATTAAAACCAAAAAATGAGTTACCTATGTGCAAATAACACCAAACTTAGTGTGTTTGCCTAGCTGCCGGCAGAGCACATACTCGTGCAGTATCACCTCTCTGCTTTTCAGCATTTCCTTGTTTTGTTTATTTGTTTGCCTTTGGTATGGTCTACATCCCACAACATCTAGATTGTATTTAATTTTGCACCATGACACAAAACTCAACACAGGCAGAGATGCAAAGACCTTAAGACCTAAACTAAGAAAAAAGTATTATCCATATTTTAGAACCCAAGGTATACTATTTTCACCTGGACACAAAAGCATATATAAAGGAACTGAATAGCTGAAAGAAATATAGGGAACGTATGTATATTTTGGAATTGGATTTTAAACAAAAGAATGAAGAAATAAGAGGTGGGGTTTTTTTTCATATTTTCCCATTTTCATAAAATTAGGCATGTTATCTGCTATTTGTTCCATGAAAAATCTCCACTCAGTGATAGGAAAAGGACGAGGAATGAAGATATCTAATACACTCAAAAGAGTATTCTTAATTCAGTCTAATTAGAATTGCTATCATAAACAACAGCTGGCAAATTATATGAGAAATTTGAAGGGGTGAATTGAATGTTGGAAAGAAAAGAACTAGAAGTTTCCAGTGTAAAACCTCAAGACTGTATTTATCAGAAATATGAATCACATCAAAGGTGAGTTAGACAAGGGTTAAAGGGAACAATTAAAGAAGGGAATACTGCAGGCATGCTCTTCTTTGGAAATGCACCTGAGGTCACACTGAGAATACAGAGGCCAGGAGAAGAGATCAGGAAAAAACATTTGTCTGTAACTAATTCTGCCTACAAATAAAGCAGTTCCTATGCATATGTATTTCTAAGCTTGGGGCTTCCAGCCTAGCAGCTTTTACAAAATCATTAATCCTTCATTAAGCGTTTTAACTTTTTAGAGGGTTAGAAAACAGTGGACCATATATTTTTTAGTTAATCAAACAACTCTGTGAGTAAGGAGACTTAGGGACCTCATTTTCATCTGGTTCACCGGGTTACCCCAAACATAACAAGATGAAGGTCTGCCTCATCAGTTTTTGCAATGGAAATGCTCACAACAGCTCACTATCATGTTAGTTTTCCAGGGGCTAATGACATAAAGGGCTAAAAATAATTAATTAAGGCTAAATAATCTCCTATCAAAGAAATTTTGTAAGTTCTTCTGTCTATAAGAGGAAGTAAAACTGCATTAGGCTCCACTGTAGACAGCTTACTGCAGGCTGTACAAAATAGTTGGGACTTAATGAATCAAATGAAAATAGAATGGACTCATCTCTGATGTCTTCTACACGTCTCAGCCATGTGAGCACCTGCTGTTTCAATATTCACATTGTCAGACTATTGATAAATATACTAAAAAGTATAATGCATCCTAAACCAAAAAGAACAGTACATATTTAAAAGTACTTAGCAAACACCAGTGAAAGCTAACCAAAGATTTACTAAAACTTACATGAACAACATTTGATGCAGAAACAGGATAAGTTATAATGTAATAATAGTATGTAATCTTAGCTAGCAATATAGAGAGGTATAGGAGAGTAAAAACTTGTCTTTTTTGTCTCACAACATGTTCTAAGTGTAATTCAGCGAGGACAAAAGGTCATCAATTCAAAGAAATGCTAAATCTTTTCCATCTCTTTCTGGCATTTAACTAATACACAGAGAACCTGATGAAACAAAGGAAGATTCAAAAGTGGGTCTTGACGTTTATATAGATATAAAAATATAAATACTACTAACACTTCAAATTAGTGTTTTCAAATGATATTTTACTTCAGAGTCACTCATAAAATAAGATCAAATATGAGGGACAAGTATTACCACATTAGTCTACTCTCCATTTCTGAAATGGTGTGAGACTTTGAGTCAGACCCAAAACAGTGTTTTCTATCATCCTTAGCATAATTTTAGCTGTTTCTTAATTAGTGACAATGTCTGCAGTAAGTAGGAATATGAATGAAAGCATTGACTAGCTTTATTTTTTAAATATAGTTGCTCATCTTGGTGACTCATTCTGGTGTTAGTTTTTATTTTGTTTCTAGAGTGAGTATTCTGTCAAGAATAGCATTTCAGAAATTCAATATAATTGCAAGTGGCAATGTTTCAACACAGAGAATGCCTTAAGCAACACTAACAAATTTAACGCAGAAATAATCACATCTTACAATAATACCAAAGAGAAAAATCAAAAATAATTACTTGACCAAGTGCTTGATAAGGATGTCCAGCATCTCTCTGTTCTTCTCTGGTAACTTATGCACAAGCGCATGCACTGCCTCCACTCTGTAGTTCTGATCATCTGACTCTATTAAGTAGGAAACAAATATTGCCGGTAAATTAGAACACGTGCTGAGACTACAAATGTCACCGATGTCTGTATGCTAATGCACACACACATAACAAGAAGCCAAACATGATTAGCTTTTAAAACGATGAGAACAATTTGATTGCATTTTTATACAACACGCTGAAATCTGCATTTCAAGTAACTCGTCAAAAGCAGCTACCACTGACACTGGAACTAACAGAATTAGTGACAATGTTGACCTGATATGACTCTTCAGTGAAATCCAAGATTTTACTCTTTGATATTTAAAACATTCTTGAGTGTCTTTTTTTTTTCTTATCAAGGGAAGAATAGGGAAATAACTTCAAATTCTAAACTGGAATCATTAGAAAACAATCTTACATCTCTGTATCTAATTACTCCATTTGTGACAAGGAGATAATTCTCTCCCTCGCTCCAATTTTTCAATGCAAGCTAGGAAAATAAAGGTCCCTGGATGAGGGATGAATGCTATAAACGAATTATCAGCCCATACAGAACAAACAAACATATAAATCGGGGTTTAAAATTTCATGCAGAAGGCAGTCACACAGAACCTCGAAAAAGACCAGAAGAAACCACTGGGCAGCTTCATCTACTGTGACTTCCCTGTTCTGAGGGTTTTATGTGACACTGCTGTCAACACAGTGACAGGGGAGAACTCAGATCCATGGCCGGATCACTGAATAACAACCAAGGAAAAAAATAAGGATAGTAACAGAGGAGACTAAGGGTTAGAACCAGTATTACTTTCATAAAAGTGTATTTGTTATTTACTTACTAACAGCAACAATGAAATCTTTGTGCAGCTTGAAAGTCATCAGTGGTTCTGAAAGACACCTGGTTGCAAAAAAACATTAAAAAGAAATTTTTTTATAAAAAGCATTACTCAAAGTCTTTTCGAGTCTCATTGGTGTGATTACGATAGCCCTCAATGTATTTTAGTATGTCCCCTATAAATCCTAGACATATTTTCCAGACTGAATAGAAATTTCTGATACTGCCCTTTGTTAGGTGACCTGTTTAGGAAATCTAGATTTATAGAAAGCATAGAACACCGACTGTCTGGATTTGATGTTATTATGTTTATTTTGAATGTCATATATAGAGACCCAGAAAAAAGTTCTCTTGGAAGCATCATGTTCCTTGAAAATTTTGTCTCTTACTACTAAAAATGTTAGAAGAAAATGGTAGTGTGGGAGGAGTATTGTGGTTGTGAAGACACAAACAGCACAGGATAAAAAGCTATGCCTTTGCAGAGATTTTTATTCTCCTCCAGCAATGATGCCACGAAACCTTGTGCTATACAGCTTAAGGGATTCAGAAAAGGAAGACTGTGCACAACATGCCTTGTGGTTAACATAAAAAATTTAAATGAAAACATGCAATTAATTAAATTCTGACAAATTTAGGTCTCTTTAAGGCATGACTATCTCAATAAGGCAGAAAGTGTGTGACAGATCTTAGTTTTTTTATTACAAATAATCACATGGATATTAGGCAAGATAATAATATACTCGATTATTACCATGCTAATGGATACAAGCAATGAAGTATGATATCAATAAGCAAAAGATTAATGGGCCAGAAAAGCAATACTGAGATATGTGTAGTATCATACTTACCTGAGGTAGTTTTTTAGTCCACTTGTTATTGTTTTATTGTCCCAAAGTTCCATATCAATATCCATATCAGGAGGAGATTTAGGGGCTGGTAGAAATTTGAATTATGATTGTGTTATAGTTTGACTAACACACTAACTGGAAAAGCATCAAACCAGAAGCTAATAGATCAGTCATTTAGCTCATGTGACTGCTTATCAGCCAGATTAACTACCAATCTGAATATTTCTCTGTCAAAGCATTAATAAAAATGCATTTAGCACTCATATTTATTACCTGTAAACATTAATTATATGTCCTGTATCAAAATGCAAAGCCCAAGTCAAAAGAGAATTACTAATATATTTGGCTTAGACATTCAAATACAGGAATGAGAGAGCCAAATTAGCAAGAGAAGTGAAAGACTGGAACAACTGCATATGCTGTGTTAGCAAAGTTAGAGCATTTCTGAAATATGCCAAATAGATACCAATAAATAGAACTTTAAAACCTAAAGAAATGCATTTTAACAGTAATTCGCTCATGTACATCAATGGTTACATGCAGAAACTGAATACTAATGCACACAAAAAACTAGTTACATGGATCACTCATTTTAAGACTGGAAACTCAATTCAGTGGCAGTAAGTGCACATACAAAGTTGTAAATACTATGACACAATTTGTGAGCACAGCAGTTAAGAAAAAAGGGACCACAGCGCACTCACTGCGCACTCACAAAGGTTCATTTCAGATACTTACAAAATACAGTATTCATCAGCTTTTGCACTTTGGAGTTGACACCACCTATTCTGTACAGTCCCAGGATTGTTATACCTACACAATGAAAATGATGAAAATAAGGTTATTTCAATATATGTTGATGAATTCTTGGTGTATGTATTCAATCTATACGTATTTGTGGAAAATTGTGTATTTATATTCTCCAGTACTGGTTTACCTTACTGAATTCTTTTCTTGGATATTAACAAATGCATTTCACTGAATGCACGCTATACTATGCATTAATCATAATTTTACATTAACGGAACCCTTCTGCACAGAAAAGAGCCATATTAGAAAACCACAAAGGAGACGCCTGGGAAAAGTGAAAAATAAGACCCCAAAGCAGTCTTAAAATATATTACACATCAGCAAGTTTATCTTAGCCGGACTTCAGAGGAATTACTACACATCTCTGTTTGCTTACACTATCCCTTTCAACTATAGTTTTGACTGACATTTACAGGAGAAATGATTTTTACCAAAATAAAAATATATACTGTGTACTGTTGCAACACTGTAGTTAAGAATTTATGTTATGAATGGATCCCCATGCAAAATAGAGTCAAGTCCTAATTTATCTGTAAATTCCTTTTTTTTTTTAAGACCACAGACCCTAATAAGCAAATAATGTTTAAAGTGCAACATTCACAACACAGTATTTCAGTAATCCAATGATGATAATTTCATTGTTTTTAACCGCCTTTTAAAACCAACAGGATTTAAAAGTCTTCCCTTCTCCCCACTTCAGGTCTTGCCTTTTAAAAAAACATTCCAAAGTCTGATCTCACTTAGACAAACTAAGTGTTTTGTTTTGAAAACCATCATCAGTAGAGTGATTATTATTTCCTTTTGTACATTCCCATTACAAAAAAATGAGCTTCTAAACACTTTTAAAAACCGGATAAATCGTCTGTAAAATAAATGAATAAAATAATAGGAGTTATGCTCTGCAAAAAAGATGTTTCAGCACAGTACTCGTGCTGCTTTTTGGTCTTCAGGTTTCACGTCAGAAACCAAAGTTGGGAGCTGAGGCTCCCTACAGTTTTACCATGTAAAAGCACAATTTGGTGCACACAAATTAAAGCCTAAAGACGTGTGCAACTGTGTATTAGGCTGTCTAAACAACATGAAATTACAGAAAATGTCTGAAAACCCCATTTAAATGATACGTTGATATTGTTGTTGGAACTCGTGCCAACAGTTTTAAGTGTAAAGCACACAGATAAAATGTGAGAAGTACAAACCAAATGATGGATGTACTTGAAAGCACAGCTGTGAAACATGTAGAATTAATCAAAGTAATATTCAAGAAAAAATATTCATAATAATCTAATACAGAATTTGTGATTTAATACATACCTCTTGTTTCTACAGCATGTATACATTTCCTCACGAAGTTGAAACCTGCTTCATTTAAGAACACTATAAAAAGAAGAAAAAAATTATTTTTTTCTAACTTAGCAATACACAAAATCTCTGTGCTTAGCTACATTCACATGTTAGTCAAGAAGGACTGATAGATGTTTATCCAATAGATTCTGATACTTATTGTAGATACATCCTTAGCACTCAAAATCCAACTTTCTAATTATTAGTGTATCATTAATAGAAGAATATTCTACTATCTTTCTCAGAAATCAGCAGCCCCTCTACAGATACAGCTGAAATCTTGTTGTTTTAGAAGATTTCTCTATTCCCTTCCCTCTGGTGAAGAAAATGCTTTTAAGAGTTCACGACCTACATTATGAATAGAATGTGTTTGTAGGTTTTAATACAATATTGTTTGTTCCTTGTGCATGTATGTAACCACTCATAAAATGGTAACTCAGGAAAACAACTTTTGTTATTGAATTTAATTAGTGAGATTATTTCAAATGAATGTATTTCTCATTAATTTTTGTATCTTCAATGCTCATTGCACTAAATAGCTTAATAAAGATAATAAATTCCCTTAAAGCAGCATATTTGTCACCATTTAAATAAACATCATCATATAAAAAACAGATGTAATGGCTTAAATTTTAGATTTATGGAGTCTCAAACATACATCCTATGAAGATGTATGTCCATACATGACACTTCTCTCTCTCCAAGTTACATACATTCACAAATACATTTAAATTATGTTTACATATTTGTGTTAATAAAATATTATGTTAATAATATATATGTTAGTATAGGATTAACATAATTATACACGTAAGTCTCATAGTATCTTTAAATATAGTAATTTTGCTACTCAGTGTATGTGCAAGAGATGAATATACACCTAAACCAAAAAGATATGACGGGCTGAGGCCAATTGTACGAGGTTCAACAAGACCAACTGCCAGATTCTGCCCTTGGGTGACAACAGCCCCAGGCAACACTACAGGCTTGTGGAACAGGAGATGGAGGGTTGCCAGGTGGAAAAGGACCTGGGGGTGTTGATAGACAAACAGCTGAACATGAGCCAGCAGGGTGCCCAGGTGGCCAAGGCCAATGGCATCCTGGCCTGTACCAGAACTAGTGTGGCCAGCAGGGGTAGGGAAGCGATCGTGCCCCTATACTCGGCACTGGTGAGGCCGCGTGTCAAGTATCGCGTGCAGTTCTGGACCCCGCACTCCAGGAAAGACACTGAGGTGCTGAAGCCTGTCCAAAGGAGGGCAATGAATATGGTGAAGGGTTCAGAGAAAGAGTCTTATGAGAGAACTGGGATGTTTCGTCTGGAGAAAAGGAGGCTGAGGGGAGGCCTTATCGCTCTCTATGGCTCCCTGAAAGGAGGCTGTAGCAAGGTGGGGGCTGGCCTCTTCTCCCAAATAATAAGCAATAGGATGAGAGGAAATGGCCTCAAGTTTCACCAGGGGAGGTTTACATTGGACATTACAGAAATCTAGCAATATTTGGTAACTCTACATAAACAAAGAGCTTACTTTCTTCCTTCTTGCTAATAATGGCTGGCAGTGTGTAGATCTGTAAAAAAAATGGAACAGGTCAGTGTTTGTGCTTTAAATTCTACATTGCAATGTCAGTTGGTAGCTGCAACATGCTGTGTACTAGCTTGCTGCCAGGGGGAAGCCAGCCTTGTCTTTCACCTTCTCTTGATGTTTACCCCTGCTGCACTCATCCAGGTGAACAGTCCTCTGTTAGCATAGGCACCCATATGTGTTACAGCTCAGATCTGCAGACTCCACAGGGGTTAAATTTTAATACAACTATTGATTTAATTTCTGTACCGTTTCAGTCAAGCAAGCAGCTTTTAAAGACACTCATCTATCTCATAAAACTGATCAATATATTCTTCCCCCTTGGATATAGGTCTGGCATCACCCTCATTCAGTAACTAGATTAAAAGCAGGTTAATAGTGGGAAGCCTGTCTCTTCATTTTCAACACATTTTTACACTCTCTGAAGTGCCTTTCATGATGGTGCTGATTGTTTAATCCATCATATTGCCCAAAAGATGGTTTGTTTTTACCAGGACAGAAACTACCACTTCACAAATGTTATTTGAACCATGAATTGTCTTAGACAGCATGCTGTCCTATTATTTAAACATTAAATATCCTAACATAAGATAAAAATGTATAAATAAAGGCTTACATTCACTAATAGCCCTGCTTTTCTTCTTTGTACCTATCTTCTCTGTGTACTTGTGACAGTGCCTCACAAAGAACAGGACTGTATTTGCCTGTACTGTAACAGAGTATTTGAATTGTATAATAGCTTCTTTCTTTATTATGTGTGTCATAAAACTGTAAAAAGAAAAGAAAAATGAAAAACCATCCTTACTGGTTCCTTTCCGTCCATAGCTTCAAGCCAAAGTTTTCGGTTGGATTCTGAAAAAGCTTGCAGTGTGATGATTCCAGGTCTGTCAAAAACATACACTGAAGTTACTAATTTGTTTTTCTCAAAAAGTATCTATAGTCAGAATCCAAATGCACATTGACATGAAGTGAATATATTAAGGACAGAGAGAAGTTAAAGAAAGTTGACTGCTTCTGAAATAACACAGTAACTTTGATGTAGATTTAAAACCATGTAATTTTGCAGGCTTAGTTCTAAGTGCTACAACCCTCTAATAGGCCTTAGGTATATCCATATTGAAAGATGAGTTATACAGTTGCAAAAGGGAACCCATACAACCCCTTTTTCAGTGGAGAGATGCTTAGAGTGGAAAATATAAGGGCATGATGCATCATGTCAGTTTGACTAAATATGTTTATGTCTGAGCTGGTTATCTATGTTCCTTTCATAGCAAATGAAGAGAAGTAGTACTTTGAGATTAATCATCACATTCCAAAATAGACATCAAAAGTCAGTCAAAATAAAAGCGCACTAAAACAGTTACCGAAAAAGAGCACTTCAAGATAGTATCTCAAGTTCGGAGCTGTAAAACCAGTTTTGTTGAGTACTTCATGGTGCAGGAATTTTTTTCTTGAGATGATTCAAAAAATCAGCTCTTTCTGCTGACTGTGCTCTAACCGTTATGAAAGTAGTTTAAAAAGTGCCATATCCATCTTTTAAAAATTCTCAACTGTTTTAGTACACATTCTTTTATTTACACATCTGTTCATATAATTATTTCAGGAATAAAGAATAAAATTTGTTCCCTCATCCCTTTCACTGGTTCCCATTACTCTTTTTCTATAGAATGTCAAAGCTTCATCAACATTGAGAAGAGATTAATATTGCCCTTGTACATGAACTTCCAACAAATACTTCTAGGTATTTCACAGAATCACAGAATGTCAGGGGTTGGAAGGGACCTCGAAAGACCGTCTAGTCCAGCCCCCCTGCCAGAGCAAGATCATCTACAGTAGGTCACACAGGAACGTGTCCAGGAAGGTTTTGAATGTCTACAGAGAAGGACACAACCTCCACAGCCTCCCTGGGCAGCCTGTTCCAGGGCTCTGTCACCCTCATAGTGACAATTCTTTTCTAATATTTCTGTGGAAGCTCCTATGCTCCAGCTTGTATCCACTGCCCCTTGTCCTGTCACTGGACAACCCTGAGGAGAGCCTGGCTCCATCCTCCTCAGCCTCCCCTTCTCCAAGCTAAAGAGACCCAGCTCCTTCAGCCTTTCCTCATCAGGGAGATGTTCCACTCCCTTCATCATCTCTGTGGCTCTGCGCTGGACTCTCTCAAGCAGTTCCCTGTCTCTCTTGAGCTGAGGGGCCCAGGACTGGACACAATATTCCAGATGTAGCCTCACCAGGGCAGAGTAGAGGGGCAGGAGAACCTCTCTCGACTTACTAGCTACTCCCCTTCTAACACACCCCAGGATGCCATTGGCCTTCTTGGCCACGAGGGCACATTGCTGGCTCATGGGCATCCTGCTGTCCACCAGAACCCCCAGGTCACTTTCTCCTACACTGCTCTCCAGCAGGTCAGTCCCCAACCTATACAGGTACTTGGGGTTGTTCTTTCTGAGGTGCAAAACTCTACACTTACCCTTCTTGTATTTCAGAAGATTTCTCCTCCCTCAACTCTCCAGCCTGTCTAGGTCTCTCTGAATGGCAGCACAGCCTTCTGGTGTGTCAGCCACTCCTCCCAGTTTTGTGTCACCAGTAAACTTGCTGACAGTGCACTCTGTTCCCTCATCCAGGCTGTCATTGCCTATTTGTACCCTCTGCTTACTTGCAAAAAAATTCCCTACCTCCCTGCTAAATAAAAAAAAAACTTTTGGAAAAGCGAACTTTCTGTCAGCCTGAGAAAGTTACAATCATGACCAGGTAACTTTGTATTCTACTCCTATTTTAGTCTCCCACACTTTCAGAACACCTAAAAACTTACAGGCCATGCACATATGTAATCAATCAAAGTGTCCAAAAGGAACAAATAATGTTTAAAAAGTGCCTGTAACTATCTCTTTGAATAGAACCTGAAGAACTGCAGATGGAACTAATTGTTCTGTGTAGTTTTGTACAGAAGAGAGAAGGGACAACCCTCACTGTGGATACGTTACAACGGTACTGCCTCAGATGTGTCTTAATAAATGCAATTCTGTTTAGAAAAACAAAAAAAACAACTTCAAACTCAACCTGTTAATTCAAGCTTGGCAACTTTCAAGACACCAATTAGTCTCAACATCTGTTCATATTAAATTTCTACTTCTTAAATCTGAACTCAGTCACAAATCTATTTTAGAAAAATAATGTACTATACTTGAAAGTACTGAAGTAGCCTAAAATTTATTATGTAAACATAGCAGGTGCGAATGGAATTTAAAATGACAGTAACAGTCACAAACCATTTCTGACTACAAAAGTCAGTCTATCTATCATATTTTCAGGGAAAATCTAATTCAGGATTTTTCTTTGTTCCTCAGCTTGAGAAAAATACTTCTAAAAAGTACTGTGTACATAACCTTCAAATACAGAAAATCTATTTTCATCTATCTTATTTAATTATATATCCAGCAAGAAGTGAAAAAATGTTGTAGAAGAAATTTTCAAAAAATGAAAAATTATCTGCTATAATAAATTTCTGAAAAAAATGAGATTAGTACAGAACATACTTCTTAATAGGTATTTATAAAAATATTTATGATCTTTTCCTAAAAGAGGGTTGTCAGCTGTGCTACAGGATCTGTAAGAATCAGTCTTGCATCTGCACGCAAACATAATGGAGTTAACACATACCCAAAGGAGTGAATTTTGTTAGAAAAACAGATCTGATCAAATAATTACTAAGTTCTGAAAGCCTACTTTGTCTAGATACAAGCATATTGAGAAATACATGTTCCTATTACAGGTGTAATTATTATATATTGATTCCAAGTGCTCCTACTTTTAATCATCTGGAATTTTTTAACACAATGAGAAAAATTCAAACCTCTCGAATACTTCAATATCAAAACAGAAACGCTTGTCAATTGAATCTGTCTTTCTCCGGATGCAAGATTTTAGCTTGTATATTTCTGGTGAGCTTGTGACAAGGCCATTCTATAAAACAAAACAGAACAAAATTAGCACGGGCAGTATGCTGCTATACATTGGCTTCATATTTTAAATTAACTGTATTAACAGTCCAAAAAACATGTCTTAATATCGGGATGAAATTATTTAGGAAGATATACAATAATTTATCCATATAAAATATAAGACTACAGTTAATAGCTATTAGTTACATATTTGTTATTTAATAATTATATTTCAGAAAAATCTCTAAATTAAAAACTTTACCAGCATCTGCATATGTAACGTGATTATATCATGATCAGGTTATGAAAGCCAAAGCTCTGATAGAATTAAATCTGTCCAGGGACGTCAGTGCAACAAGAAAAAGCTTCTGTTGGTACATTGGTGACAAAAGGAAGATTAAGGATAATGTGGGTCCTCTCCAGAAGGAAATGGGAGACTTGGTTACCTGAGACACGGAAAAGGATTTTTGCCTCAGTTTTCACCGGCAAGTGCTCCAGCCACGCTGCCCAAGGCACAGAAGGCAGGGACTGAGCAAATGAAAGATGAAGAATGACGGCGCGCTGCAGTTGATCAGTTTGGAGAATATCTAGGGAATCTGAATGTACACAAGTCAATGGAGCCTGATGAGAAGCACCTGCAGGTCCTGAGGGAACTAGCAGACGAAGTTCCTGAGCCACTATCCATCGTATTTGAGAAGTCATGGCAGTACAGTGAAGTTCCCACTGACTGGAAAAGGGGAAACATCACCCCTGTTTTTAAAAAGCGGAAAAAGGGAAGACCCAGGAAGCTACAGGTCAGTCATTCTCACCTCTGCCTCCAAAGATCATGGAGTAGATCCTCCTGGAAACTACACTAGGGCACATTGACAACAAGAAGGTGATTAGCGATAGCCAACTGGGCTTCACTAGGGGGCCAGTTAGCTCAGTCGGTTGAGCGTGGTGCTGATAACACCAAGGTTGCAGGTTCGATCCCCGTTCGGTCCCCATGTGTTGCCTGATCTAGTTGAGAGGCGTCCCTGCCTATGACAGGGAGGTTGGATTAAATGATCTCTGAGGTCCCTTCCAGCCTAGGCCATTCTATGATTCAGTAAGGGCTAATTGTACCTCACAAATTTGGTGGTGATGGTGTAACAGTGTTGGTGGAAAAGGGATGAGCAACTGACATCATCTCCTGGACTTGTGCAAAGCATTTGACACTGTCCCACACGACATCCCTGTCTCTGTATTGGAGAGACACGGATTTGATGCATGGAGCACTTGATGTATAAAGAATTGGCTGGATGGTTGCACTCAAAGAGTTGTGGTCAACGGTGCAGTCTCCAAGCGGTGACCAGGGAAGAGCAGTGTTCCTCAGGGTTCAGCATTGGGACTGGTGCTGTTTAACATCTTCGTAGGATTGAATGTCCCGTCAGCAAGTTTGGTGATGACACCAAGCTGTGTGGTGTGGTAGACACACTAGAGGGAAGGGATGTCATCCAGACGGAACCTTGACAGGCTTGATAGATGAGCCCGTGCAAACCTCATGAAGTTCAACAAGGTCAAGTATAAGGTCCTCCACCTGGGTCGGGGTAATCCCAAGCACAAATACAGGCTGGGTGGAGAATGAATTGAGAGAAGCCCTGCAGAGGACTTGGGTGCTGGTTCACAAGAAGCTCTGCATGACTAGGCAATGTGCACGACTAGCTCAGAACACCAACCATACCCTGGGCTGCATCAAAAGGAGCATTGCCAGCAGGTCTGATGAAGGTGATTCTGCCCCTCTATTCTGTTCTAGTAAGACTCCACCTGCAGTACTGCACTCAGCTTTAGGGCCCCCAGCATAAGAATGACATGGATGTGTTGGAATGAGTACACAGGATGGGATCTGGGGGCTGGAGCACCTCCCTTATGAGAATAGGCTGAGAGAGTTCGGGCTGTTCAGCTTGGAGAAGAGAAGGCTCCTTAATATAGTGGAAGGCTCCTTCCAGTACTTAAAGGGGGCCTAGAGGAAAGCTGGAGAGGGACTCTTGATCAGCGAATGTAGTGATAGGACATGGGGTAATGGTTTCCAATTGCAAGAAGGTAGATTTAGATTAGATATTAGGAAGGAATTCTTCACTGTGAGGGTGGTGAGGCACCAGAATAGGTTGCCCAGAGAAGCTGTGGATGCCTCATCCCTGGAAATGTTCAAGGCCAGCTTGGATGGGGCTTTGAGCAACCTGGTCTAGTGGAAGGTGTCCTCGCCCATGGCAAGGGGGTTGGTACTAAATGATCTTTAAGGTCCTTTCCAATCTGAACCATTCTATGATTCTATGATAAAATTACATGTTAGAATGAACAAATTTTGTCAAGCCTCATATACAGATAAATAAGATTCCTAAAGAATAAAGCTGATTCCTATTCCTGACCACTATCATTCTGAGTTGATGTAACGTTGAAAAGGCTGACACAATAAGCAGAATTTCTGAGGAATGCAGATGTCATTCCTGTCTTCAAGAGCAAGAAGGAAGTACAGAATCACAGAATCATTTAGGTTGGAAAAGACCTTTAATATCATGGAGTCCACCTGTTAACCTAGCAATGCCCAGTCCACTGCTAAGTCATGTCATCAAGTACTACACATCTTTTAAAAACCTCCAGGGATGGTGACTCCACCACTTCCCTGGGCAGCCTGTTCCAATGCTTGATAACCCTTTTAGTGAAGAGATTTTTCCCAATATCCAATCGAAGACTCTCCCAGCAAAAATTGAAGACATTTCCTCTTGTCCTTTGGGGAACTACAGGTCAATCTGCATTACCTTGATCTCTGGGAATGTAATGAAGTGAAAAATCCGTGAAAGCATTTCCAAGCATACTATGGACAGTAGTCAGCATGGATTCATTGAAAGAGAAATCACGCAGTATCAACTTTACAGCCCTCTACAATGTGATGCATAGCTCACTGGATGATGGAAGAACAAAGAATACTATTTATCACAACTTTAGCCAGGCTTTTGAAACTACATCCTACTACAGTAGGTTGTTTCCTACTACATCTTCATAGACAAACGGCTGAAGCACAGGCTAGATAAATAGATGGTGAGGTAAGCTGAGAACTGGCTGAAGTGCTGAGCTCACAGCAGAAGTCTAGCTGCAGCATCACTAGTGGTATGCTCAAGGGGTCAGGACTGGGGCCAGAACTGTTTAGCATGAATAGGAATAAACCCAGGCACCAGGACAGGCTGGGCTGACAGGGTGGAAAGCCGCTTGGCAGAATAGGACTTGCAGGTCTTTGTGGGCAACAAGTTGACCATGAGGCAGCAACGTGCTCTTGCCTCCTAGGCTGCACGAGGCAGAGCATTGCCAGTAGGTCAAGGGAGGTGAGCCTCACCCTCTCTTCAGCACTGGTGAGAAACCTAGTGCTGAGCTCCCCGGCACAAGAGCAACAGCGATGTACTAGAGCAAGGTCCGCTAAGGGCAACCAAGGTGATTAAGGACTTGGAGCATCTGTCGTATGAGGAGAGGCTGAGAGAGCTGAGACTGTTCAGACTGCAGAAGGAGAATCATATCAGTGATTCATCTATAAATACCTGATGGGAGGGAGTAAAGAAGACTGAGTCAGATTCTTCTCAGTGGTGCCCAGTGAAAGGATAACAAGCAATGGGCACAAACTGTAATACAGGCAATTCCAATTGAGCTTAAGAAGTAGCCTTTTTCATGGTGGTCAAATGCTGAAAAAGGTTGCCCACAGAGGCTGCGGGGTCTCCATCCTTGGAGATATGTAAAATGTGACTAGACACAGGCCTCGCTAACCTGCTTTGGTTGACCCTGCATTGAAATTAAACTAGACGAACTCCAGAGCTCCCTTCCAAACCTCATCCATTCTATGATCCTCTGCAAACGTCATTGATTTCCTATGCATTTGGAACCACCATATTAGATAAATTATTAAATATGTGGTTTATATATATTTTAAAAGAAATGTTTTAATTTAAATATATATCTATGCTATCTAAGACATGCACCGCTTCATGTACGAAAACTTTGTGCTTTGTTCACCACTTTTTTCTTTTAACAGTTCCTCAGTGTTTACTATAAAAGATGGAGTACAAAGTTCATGTATGTGTGACTCACCACTTTTCCACCAGATTTTGTTTCAGCTATACTCATTGTAAACGTCTTTGTTCCTTTATCATAAGTGCAGTAATGTTTTACCCAAGTAAATCCAAGAGGTCCTAGATTAAAGAGAGACAACAATAAAAATAATCACTTTGGCATTTTATCCCTATTTTAGTTGGAGAAACAAAACATAACAGCATCCACATGTAGCCTTCAAAATTCAAAACTCCCCTAATTTTTTAATTTGAACATGTTCAGGTGTAATTTTCAAATACCGCAGCTTGATAACCTTGCCCAACAATGTCCTAGTAGACTGATTTTCTTTGTCAACTGGATGGGTAATAGCATTTTACTAGGTTAAACAGGCAGGAGACAGGCAATATCCTGAGGATTTTTCTGCCTCAGAAATAGAGTTGAAGATTTTATCAACCCAAATGAAGCACAAGAATTCAGTAGTACATCCTTACTCTGAGGGAAACCTTGAAGTCTTATATTAGATCCAGAAAACTGGACGAAGTTATGAAATCAGAGTGCACTTCCCTTTACTTTCAGAGTTCTAGTCAAAGGTAACAAATGCTCCTGGCAGTGTCATAGGAAGGCTATTCTTCTAGCTGTTTCCTTCAGGGAGTGTGTGAAATGGCACTGGCTCAGAGATAAATTTGATAGTTGAACACTGATGGGTGATTTCACTACATGAAAGGAAAGAAAGAAAAGGAACAGTGCACTCTAAAACAACAGCGGATTAGAGATGAGAGATAAAATACTGTCTGGCAAAGGTGGTACCTACTGCAAGAAATGGGGCATTTTATGCCTTGGAAGGGGAACTGCTGCAGAAGGGGTGGCTGTAAAAGTGATGCACAACACAACTGACCACATCCACAAACTGACAATTGCATGCACTCACAATTGCAAAGTGTAACATCCTGAGGGATTCACTAGTCTTCGATTTCAATAGACATACAAGAAATATACAGCGATCCCCAAGTAAGTGAATGAAAGCCTTATCCTAAAGAGGTCACACTGCACTACTTCTCAGTCCTTCCCAAAGAAGGATGCAGAAGATGTTTTCAGTCCTGGATTACCCAGAGCTTTGCTCAGACATTGCTGTGAACCTTTAGTGAATCTAAACACAAAACTCTCTTGACTGTAAACTCAAAGTTATTTTAAACTTCATCCACTAAGCCTGCTTAGATACAGGGTTTTGTAATGTGTTCTTTGCTGTGAGGACATGGAGTAAATCCTCCCACCATTTCCATTATTCTCTCCACATCCTAAATTACAGCTAAAATCTCCCACAGGTTTTTTTGGGGGGTGAACAAAAAAAAAGTGTTTATTGTGGCACAGAGAACAAGGTAAGCTTCCAGATTCCTGCAGATACATCTGAAGGGGTGGTACACTGCAGAGGACAGGATAATTCAGGTTTTTGCACTGTGGCTGATCCTCCTTGAGCTAGAACATTATGGCTAGGACAGGACTGGTTAATAAACAGCACTGGCAGCATTCAAAGTGACTACGTAACACGTAGTAAATAGGTAACGTTTTAAAAACATCTTGATTTTTGTGGACAGGAAAATTAGGGTAGAGAGTGGGATATTGTGTGTAAGCTTGTCTCAGCAGCAGATTACAACCCCATTTCTTCTACTACCATTTGCACAGCTCCTGGGTACTCAGTTGCAGGGACCAAACACGACGGCTGTGTAAAGAGGTACCACGAAGGCCAATATATATATACATGTGTATATCTATATTTTTATATATTTCTATATAAAATGCAGTATTGCAACTACTGTGTGAATTCAGGGTAGGAGAGGACTAGATGATACTTTCAATCCATATGTGATTCTGCCAATTCATTTCAATGGGAGTTACTCTTAGGAAAAATATGATATTGATGTTTTTCGAAGTACAGTAAATCTAGACCTTTCAATTACTTTTAAAAAAGAAGTGCTCTGAATTAAAAGCAAACTTCGAAGTTTTGCTACAGAGACAATGGCTTTGCCTTCTAAATGCCGCTTTCCACAAAAGTCGTGGATATACAAGAGATTCCATCAGTCATGTAAGTGGGATGTCTGGCAATCCAGAAATGTAGATGTGGAAATTTGCAGCCTGTTACACTGACTTGGAGAAAGTTCTCCCACTGCCTGCACTTTGCAGGAAATTAACACCATGAATTAAAAAGTCAAATGGCTACCCATCCTCTGAAGCTGGCTGTTCTGTTCCTGTATCTTTTCACTTAGGAAAAGAAAATCTATAATTATTCTAAATCAATTTTTCCTCTCATGGTAATTCATTAACTCTTTTAGCATATATAAGAAGGATGAGTACTCTCAGAGCAGTTTTAGATTAGTTTAGAAGTCACCTGGATTTCATTAAAAGATTGTAGCCAGACACCTACATTGTAGCTTTAAGTCTATTTTTCACAATTGTCAATTTGAATGAAAACAATTTATGTCCTACTGCTATTATTTTCAAAAAAACATACTTACCACCATCCATATCAGTAATAAATACATAAAGCATTTACTCCCATGAATAGCAAACATTTAACCCAGTTGCCTGTAATTTGGCAGCAGTCTATGGGATGACAGTTGTAAGAAAGTAAACCCTGGGTGACCAGGAAATGTACAACTAGTACCTTCCCCACTGACACGGAGATTGCAGACCCTGTTACACTGACTCCACAATAAACTAATGAACAAATTTCTTTTCAGTAAGAGGATGTCAAGTTGGCCTCGCACTATTTAATGAAGCACAGCATGTGCCCAGTGCTTCACTCCTTTTCTCCCTCCCCCTGTACCAGGGCTCAGTCTAATTTCCACTTAACACAGGTTTCTTTTATCATTACTCAATTAAAACATAGAGGGTCTTCTTAAAGCTTTCAGTGGTACTGAGGGTATAAGTGGCTGAGGTTAATTATGATAAACACGGAGCCTCCTTCCTTTTAGCTCACATACGGAATAAAGATTAATTTCAGGATGTTATTTGTAAAACTAATTTATCTATACCTACATGTAATCTCCTCAGTTATCATCTAAAAGGGGAGTAGCGAAGAAGATATCCTCAAAACTGAGGTGAAGTAGGGTCAAGTCTGCCACAGGAATTCTATATCCAGATGCCATGCCTTCTATTTATTTTAAGACTGACAAATTGGGTACAAAGTTGTATTTAATATCTTTTGCATGAACATTAAACTTGCTCAAGCATATACACACTACCTCAAAACACTGCTACATACTTTTCCAGTGTCAGTCTAATTCCACAGCAAATAGAAAGATGAATAAATTAATATATGAATCTGCATACCCCATGCAATGAAAACTATTTTATTGAGGGTTTTGCAGGATCTTGCCTAACACAGCTATTTTGGCTTGATTTTCTCTACTGGTTAGAGTGCATAAGAATGGCAGTGGATACTTCATGTGACATATAGCTTTGAATTCTCTTACTTGACTTTTCACATATGTCCTGGTTCTGTTTCCATTCATAACTTGATGCATTGCTAGGCTCTTCCAAGTAGTTTCAAACACTGATGAAAACTTTAGTTCTCATCATGTCTCATTTCTCATGTCATTATCATGTCTCATGAAGTGAATAAAAACTAGGTATAGATTTGCAGCTATTTTGAAGCTGACAGACTGTATTTAGACAACTTTTTTTTCTTCTTACACCTTTGTTTTCCATTACATGCATGTACATTTACTCCTAAGTTGGCTGAGACAGTGGAGATCTCTGGTACAAAATGGAAGTTGCTCCTATTGGGTGAATTACGGGCCCTGATCAGGTAAGCAAAGTACTCACAAGAAACCAGGGAGCAGCAGTTGAGTTCCTTACAAGTCTTTTGATCGCTACTCTGAGTGCTCTTTGAAAAGTGCAACTTATTTTGAATCTCTCAGTCATTTGGAAAGCACTCATAGCAGAAATTTGCAGATATTCAAACACAGAGCTGTTGTGTTGTCCTGCTAACTAAATCATTTTCTTGTCGTTGCATTTGCTGCTGTGCCTTTCAAATAAAATTAAAAGGTTTTACTCACGTTTCTCCTGCACATAGAGGTAACCTTCCATTGTCCATTGACTTGGTGGTCTGTAATCCTGGTTGGCTGATTTCATTCTTTGCATGAGTCTCTCCACTTCCTGCCTAGTGCTTTCAAAGTTATTCCGGGTCTAATACCCAGAAAAGGAAAAAACAAATGAAAGCATTATCTCAAGCAACTACTAAAACATGAATGAAGAAATAAGTAGTAATAATGCTGAGGAGATTGTATCAAAGATGAACAGAAGCGTTTGCCAGATAAATAAATTTTTTTTTAAAAAAAGCAAATAAAGAATAACACTCTTCTTTGCCCATTGCTCTAGAAACTTGCAGTAATGAAGTATAACATAGTAATGGAGAATTCAACTTAATTACACAAGTGTAAAGGAAACATAATTGAGAATATTAATATTCCTCTTTCTGCAGGTCACTAACCTCAGAAAGGAGGTAATTTCCTATTTTTAGGTATGCTTACACAATATTTTACAGACGGATACAGGCTTCCTCTCTGTGTACTCTAGGCTACACAGACAGAAGTCAGGCTAAACTAGAAGCTGCTGACAGCACAGCCCCAAACCTGAAGGAGTAAGTCCCACTGAACCACCTGAAGTACAGTGCAGAAACTTTTCAGTTGCTATCCTTCAGGTGAAATATCAATTCAAACAGATCTTAACAGAGGTCATTTTGAGTCCTTCATGAGGGAATGCCACTGAAGGGAGGAATGTCCCAATTTTGAGATCTTATCTCTATTATGTTTTTCATTACTACTATTAAGCAGACAAGACTTTGCATCAAATTATAGAAGACAAACCCAAATGGTACAAAGTACACCACGGGCCCCCTGAAGTCACAACAGGTCATGCTAGGACATGGTGACCTGTTAAGATCTGTTGTTCTGCCACCACCCTGCTACTCCTACTGCTGCTACTGCTCCTGCTCTAACCTCTACAACGATCTTAAGAACAGAAACAACAGTTCAGATCAGCTGTTCTCCAAGACTTTAACACAGAATGCAATGGAGAGCAGAGCTGTTGACAGCTACAACAGGCCGGCTGAACACTGTCCTTGGGTTGTCTTTTCCTGCATAAATTATTTCACTTTAATCTGAGGTTGAGTGATGATCTGAGTGATTAGCCCAGTCTGCACAAGGAAGCTGTGGACCTAGATCTGGAGCTAGAAACACCAGTGAATGATGTATTGTATCTTACTATATCTTCATGTATATGTTTCTCTGATGTATAAATATGCTAAAAATAATATCATAATACATTGCTCCTTCTGCCTAACTTTACATCTCTCTCTATGTCTGTGGTTTATTTACAAATTCAAGTTGCACTTATATAATATTTAAGAAGAGATATAACTATTTTTTAATTAACATTGAAATTGAAAAAATATCCTTTAATAATTCTATTTCTGTAGATATGCACATATAAAGTACTAACATATTGTCATTTACAATGTCAGTTTTGGTCTGTGCTCTGGGCTCACACTCCTCTCTGAACTTGCCATATCAAAGTAAACAAATCTCTGGAGTGAAGTATATTTTTCATCCTTTCACTGGAACTGTTCTGTGCAACAACACTGACCCCTTGTGCCTTTATCTGGAAGAATCTTAGTAGTAAACCAAAACTAGCAAATACACTATTTGAAAGTAAAAATGGCTGAGATGCTCTACAGACACTTGCATTTCGAATCAAAAGGAGAATATTAATCATCTAGAAAGTTTTGCCTTATTTGCTCAAGCAGTGTTTTAAATGGGAAGAATACCTACATATGAACAACAGACACAGAAGTGGTGGAGGCTACAGAGCTGTGCTGCACGTGTAATTGAAGCAAAACTTGGGAGAGCACAGTACTCCTAAGAATGGAGATCTACATTAACAGTGCTAAGGAAATGCCAACATATGTCTCCCTAATAGTAAGATGTTACTAGGAAAATGTTAGTGTCTTATTTTCCAGTAACCCTCAGGGAGTAACAGCTGAGTACAGCAAGGTACTCCTGTACTCCCAGACCTGTTTCATATTGCCTAAGTTAGGTGGCCAAGGCACTATCCACAATAGCTGAAGTCAGATCTTCTGAACTGTTGTAGCTTCTTTGACTCTACTGGAGTTACAACACTTTCTGTTCGGCGAGTACCTTTTTTTGAAAAAATGAAATGGAAGAGAAATTGAGTCACCCCAAAAATACAGAATTTGGATAAAATGGTAGACTTTCTTCACTTTTAAAAAAACCTTGTTCTCTATTTTGACGGTACTTCTCATGAAAAGCGTAGGGTTGGCCCACTATGTTGAACTACACTCTTTGCCTTAAAAGGCAGAGATAGTGGTTCTAATGACAGTGGTTCCAATGCAAATAGAGCATAAAGATGTTTCGTATCTACTTACTTGCATGCTCTTCTAACTATAACATCTGAGTTACAATGTGAAGTGAATATACATTTGTATACAGCAGTTACGATGAGTGGGAAACTATGTTGATTAAATGCATTTTTATTATTTCTGAAAGCTCCAGAATTTTTGGGCACAGTTAATCTTGCATGGCTCTTATGACCAAATTCAGACCAATTTACAGCAGAAGATCCATCTGCTCAGTTGCGAGTAACTCTCCACACAAACAACAGATCCTTTCTTCACATGATACGTAACACTTGTGAGAGCTGCTCAATGTGGAGGAAGGCCTCATCAGTTCTTTGATGCTCTGGAGAACAGCCAGAGATTGGCTTCCCAAGCGTGCTTTACGTGCAGTGGGAAGCTAGCAGACAGTAGGATGGGCTTTTTGTGTTAAACTGTGATCTTAAAGAAACAAACTGCATCATTCTAGACCAGTTTTATTCCAGAAAACAGGTCTTACTCTCAAGAAAGCCTTTACACATGTTTAACTTATCTGGACTACTGTTTTGTTTTTTTTAATAAAAAGTTGGCTGCTATGCCACTTTTCTGGCTCTTGCTCTCAAAATTTTGTCCTAGAAGTCACAAATTGACTATCTTGACCAGTTATTTGTTGACAGGAATCTTAATTACATTCACCTTACCAAAAATAACTTTTACCTACTCTTAGTTTGATTTCAACTTACTAAAACTTTGAAAGATTTAAAATGCAAATAAAGTGACACTTTAATATCCTGAAATTAAATTAGCAAGCAAAAGGGTGTGTTGCCTGATCTAGTTGAGAGGCGTCCTTGCCCATGACAGGGAGGTTGGATTAGATGATCTCCAAAGTCACTTCCAACCTAAGCCATTCTATGATTCTATGATTCAGAAATATTAATAACTTGAATCAGAAGTGAATGATTTAAAAAAAATAAAAAAATAAAAACTCTCCTTACGTTCTGCAAATTGAACTGCAGTTGCTGCTTGTATGGTGCAAACTCTTGAGCCAGTTCATATCCTTCATGGTAAAATGTAAATAATCCTTGAAGAAAAGCCAAGAGCTGAAAAGGTAAGACACAGAAACATTATATATTTTTAACATGCACTCTTAATGCTATATAACACAAAGATAACAGAACATACATTAACTTACAAGAAATAGGTATTACGTGAGATAGTGAAAAAGTAGTTCTAAGCAACTGCTATACACATCTTTTCTATTCAGGTGAATAGGAGTAAGTTAAAAACTAAGGACAGTTGATTTTCTATTAGTATTCAGTGGGAAAATATGGCAAACCATCAGCAAAACACATTCTGTGTTTTAGCTCCTGGAACACTCTAAGCTTTCATTACTCGCAATAGCAAAGCTTTGCTGAGCAGCGAATCCACGGTCAGACCTTGAGAGAGAGGTGTTAAACAGGCTTTTGCATCATCAAGGTGTCATTTCCACTGTAATTTATTTCACTCTCCTAGTCATTTTACCCAGCATTTCAGCTGGAGTCTTTGATGGTGTGCATTTTCCAAGTTCATCCTTTCAGAGTTCAAGTTTTTTTTCTTCAAAGTATTTCTCCACTTTCTTCATAGTAATTGCTTGGGCTATGACCTATTTTCCACAGATGAGACTCTTGAAAGTATGTTTTGGACAGGTTAATACAACACAAGAAATTCAGACTATTTCTTCCTGCTCTGAATGGAATACAAATTCTATCTGGTATGTCTGTGACTGACTCCAACAGAACAATTGAAGTCTGTACACATTCAGGTGAAAACTCTTTTTAAAGTTTGCTTTAAAATAATGTTTAAGTAGTAAAAGACGCAACTATATTTTAGCTGTTGAATTAATACATTCCTGTCATTTATTAGTTTTAAAAGCCTTCCAAATTATTCTGTTCAAAATTTTATTTTTTATTTTTCAGAATGCTGTAAATCAGCTTATCTTCTACTATTTTTTTATTATGAACTTTTTTTTTGTACATACAATTTAGCTTACAATAAAACAAGTGAAGAAAACAATGAAAAAGAGATACTAACTTGGATGTACAATAACGAAAGCTGTAACAAGAGGACAGATTTATCTTAGTATATTACAGCTACTGAAAAGCTAATCATCCAGGCTAAGTAACTGGTTGCCCAGGCTGCTATCTAACTCAGTAAAAAACAACAAGTATTCAAAGAGCATAATTCTTTTTCCTTTTTCAGACTTCTCTTTCAAGGTTGGATGAATGATCCAATGGAAACATTTATCTCTCACAATCGACTATTGAAGTAGCCTAGCCTCAGGCAACAAAAATGCTATCATTCATATTTAAAGCACTTTTCTTTGTGGTACCTGTACTGTAGATTATTGTAAGTGGAAAAGCTTAAAAATGTAGCTTTTACTGTGTTTATATTTTCTATAAATATACGCTCAGTGCTACTTGAAAAAAATGTAGTTAAATTTTCTGCTCCCACTTTCCTTTTGCTCACTAAGAGAAGGCTGTACTAAGGTAACACATGTATTTCGGGCGAATAGCTAAAATCATATTTTGCAATTTGAGAGCCCCATACATTCCAGCATCACAAAACATCCCACACTTCCACAGCCTGACAGATGAGACACCAAGGACGCAGCGCTCTGGGCAGAGGAGCCAGCATGATGACTTGCCGCTACGAGACTGAAGTCTTGTTCTCCCCTTCCCACTACTCCTCCCTTTCCCTGTTCAGCTTTGTCACAGAATCGCAGAATTGATGAGGCTGGAAAAGACCTCTGA